AGTGCCGTTCGAATCAACAGCAAAATTGTGGTAGGTTCACCCTTTGCAATCGAGTGGCGACTGAGAAGCGACGTTAAACAATCGTCACTTGGTGGATAATGAACGAAGAGAGAGAACAGATCTATGGGCCTCCACAAATTTGTTCGTTATGGTGAGATGGAGAATACGTGGAATATTTCAATAAAATAGTATACTTTATTTCTACGTTAGTTTGAACAAATTTTGAAGAAGATCCGATATGCAACCTTTTGTTCTGCAAAATCACCTCCGAGTGCAAAGAGTTAAAGTACATTTGATATAAATCTTTTTTGTTGGCAGGAAGAAATAATTTATCCTTTTGTTGCGATTATTTATTCCCTCTACTCACATCGCCTCGTGAATTCTCTCGCACGAATCCAGCACGAACTGTCCCTGAAGCATGATAACGAACAGGTGCATCAGTTGACACAACGTAAAACTGCAATATCTGTAGAAGTCTATGTCGAAATCCGACGTACTCAGCTGATTTGAAAACAGTGAAAAATTTCCACAGATTAAACAACGCGAAATGTAGTCGTAGGAAAGAGGAAAAAGGAAGCTCACCTTGATCAGAGTAATACTGAAGCATAGAATCACCAAGGCTAAGCAGGTGAAAAGGTACGTGTCATGGCCGCGTTCAATTTCCTTTACAAAGCTGAATTGAAGAGAACGAATCAAAGAGAAACGGCGGTAAAACGTGGTAGAGGAAAGAAGAACCACAAACTAACGAAAAAAACGAACAAACAAACAAAGATCGTCAATACTGACTTTATAGCACGTTGATGTCCCTGAATGGAGAAACACGCGTTCTTGTACGCCTCTTTCGTCCAGTGGTCGAAATACTTCCCCTTCACGCTATTGTCCTCGCAAATTGAATTCTTGAAGCGGTATCTGCGAACGTTCCACGCAATCTCAATAATAGTTTCCCGACGAAAATGAGAGAAAAAATGTATCTCTCAAGTTTTCTCACCCGGCCACGGCGAACAGTCCGCAAGTGTGTTGCACCAGTACCATGTAACTGGTGTCGCAGGCACAGTACACCACCACTACAATCAAAACTGTGCACGTTCCGTGAAGTATGATGTAATAATAGTATTCTACTTCGTCGACGAAGTAATATCCGGGTACGACGACTGGCAAACTTGGCGTTATATTCTGTGTCTTGTACGAGTTCACCATTCGGGTCGTCCATGGCACTTGTATGAACAAGAACGAGCAAATGTACGCGTTCACTGGAAATGTCCAATCCAGAGTTGCTAATTGTTTCTAATTAAAACTTCGGAGAGCTGACCAACGTAGAACCTCGAGAGCAGATTTCCCCTTTGCCCGTACTTCTTCATGATGCCGATCTCCTTGTACGATCGTTCTTGATTCCAGTCCTCGCACATACTATCCAGAAGGTATTCGAACTGCAACAGACGTGTCACACAGTTGCAGAAAAATGACAAGGTAGAAAATAAAGATCGCGTGCATCCTCTCACCTTATCTGTATTTACAATGTAGTTCACCTGCTTGCATAGCAGCAACACTAGCGGGCAGAAGAATGGCGTCTGTTCTACTATCATGTCCACGGTAAGGGTTTGCAACATCCTTGCTAGCTGTATTAAGGAAGCATCGCGACATTTACACTCTATTCTGTCACTCGACATTGTCTTCTTAGTATGTCGAAACAAGTTACAGAAATTAGATGTTACGAGGGTTTGTTTGTGATCTGGAGCAGTAGTTGTGTGAACGAAGAGGGCAAACAACCCTGTACGGAAAATTAGAAGGTAGCGAGCCAAAAGCGAGAACTTGGAATGTTGAAAGATGAAGAGTGAGGAAGATCGAGAGACTTTGCAACTATCGTTACAGTACAGTTAGTTAACGCTTTGTATTCCCGAAATTACCGAGTAAAAACCTACTTGTTCATCCAGAACTCCTACGATCTACTATTTATCGGTGAAATTCTTAGAGACAATTGTCTCAAGAAAATTCCTACCCCTGATACAATTACACTTTTCACACGTTCTATTGTATTGTAAATAATGGAATATCGTATAAATCCAGTAAAGCATGACAGAGTGAACATTTATGTTAACGTTACGTGTGTACCTGAGCGAGGAGCGAACTGATGATAACCATGATCCCACGGTCCAGATTTCGCAGTTGAACATTCGCGAAAAAAGGGGAGAGAATTCTCCCGCGGTTAATTCTCAAGCGGTTCAATTAAGGTACGTGGCGGCTTGTCGGCACTTTATTACATGCACGCAGCCACCTATGACGTCTATCGTGCACAACAAGCGGCAGAATTTACCAGCATGATTTATTGGAAACGTCGGTCACGTGCAAGTAACGAATATCCTTTTCTTCCCGTAGGAGGATACAACGTGTACGATAATTAGAAAAAAGAATAGAAATATATGGGGAAGTTCATTTTCGAATGATCGAAGAGAACGCGGTTGGTAATTCAACTGTATCTATTTTTAAGCGAATTTACACGTATATCATACATATATGTTTGTACTATTTCGTTCATTGCGTGCTCTCTACTTTTACTTGGTCTGCATCACCGTGTAGTAGGAAACAGATGCTTTGATGATCTGAAAGGGAACGTTTAAATTTGTTCAAATATTCTCTAACAATAAGTACCTTTCGCTACCTGTTTAATGTTAATCGTTAAATCACCTCTGCGAACGATCGTAGATTCAACGTCGTCATCCCACCAGCTGTTAACAGAGGTGGGTTTAGGCAGCTTCTCAATGCCAATACATACAACGCTTGTGTTCTAGGAGTGAAATTATACCACTGCGATTCGTATCTGCAAAGGACAAGGAAGAATTGAGGAAAAATTCGAACCTGGAGAGATTCTTGGTCAGAAAGTGTATCAGGTAACGTAACAGGAAATTTTAGTATGAAGTATACAATACTTACATCTTGTCGTACAGTTCGTCGAACGCGTTTATCACAAATTGTCCCTGGACGTTCAAAAAGAAAACGTGAAACGCTTGGCCGACGAAAAACGTTCCGTGCACAACCTTCAACTTTATGTGTATTATCATTATCATGTAGTATTGCTCAGGATCCATCCAGTAATAGGCTGGATAAA